GCTTTGCCCCTACGAGATAAAAAATTGGGCTCGTTTGCACACTATTTCATCGAGCTTGTGAAATATGCACAGAGGATTGTTTAAGCGACGAAGACAGCTTCCTGAAAGAAGCACTACAAGCAAACGGATATCCAGGCGCCTTCATCACGAAGCAAGGTACAGTAACACCAAAAATAGACAGTTCAATAACTGTCCCGAAAAAGAAAACGTTTTTGATGTTAGCATACAAAGGCGATGACGTGAGTAAACTCTTTAGCAAGCAGTTGAACTCCGCTGTCAAGCGAGTCTATTACGCAGTTGACCTGTCCATTGTCTTCACTACCACCCGGATACCAACGATATCGGTGAAAGAACCATTGCCTCCCTCCGCCAAATCAAATTGTATATACCAATTCAAGTGTTGATGCTCAGCCGTCTACATAGGCAGGACAGAGAGGCAGTTACGTCACCGAATGGCCGAACACATCCCGGTGTGGCTTAAGAAAGCAATGGACAACAATTTTGCAAATGTTACGTCATCGGTTGATCGGAGAAAGCTTACATCTTCGATAACGCAACATTTACCCGAACAAAAAATCTGTGTCATCCCACCCCACGCATTCTATGTCATCTACAACACAGCAAACACAAAATAACTAAAATTTGCCAAGACCCTAGCCATTTACACTCTCACACCTGATCTATGCAAACAACGTGAATGGTTAGTCACATTAGCTTTGCCTTATTGACTGACCCCTGCCCTATCTCATTTCTCCTTTTTGTGTTTTTTTTGTTTTTGCGTTGCGTTGTCCGTTGTGATAAGCGATCTTGTGTTTTTTCTCTCAAATCTTTTAAAAATCACTTGGACTGCAGTATGCACGTGAACAGATGCAGCGAAATAACCATGGATACATTGTGCAAACCCATGTTTCTGACTTCTCTGTTCAAATTTTGACGGGAAAACAGTGTTTTAAGGAAAGTATGTTGCTAGCAACTGGCAGACGACCGCTTTATTGCGGTCTTGGCAGCTGGAGCTACATACGAGGGTCAATATGCAGGTTAACAAAAGTCTGCAAATGGCCGCTAAGTGGGAATCAAGTTTCCAGCAACAATCAAATACGACTACACTGGGATATAAATATGAGATTCCCAAAGCGAACGTGACATTCAAAGCTCAGATTGATTCGAATAAGAATATTGTTCCATCTTTGGAGAAGAAATTGACACCATTCCCTTTTACCTTTATTCTGTGCGCTCCCGACAACCAGGCGAAATCTAGGTACGCCTTTGGAGTCAGCATCATGGTTGGCTAATCAATTTCACACCACCCGGTTATCAATTAATTAGTGGCATCACTTAGCATTACTATGGAATAGTATCGATGGTCAAGCTTCCCAAGCTTATTCCTCCGGTCGGTCGGTTGCAAAAATTGCTGTATACGTCACAGAAGGCGCGGCGCAACTGCAACCAGGTGATTATGCCTATCATTTCTAAGGTAATTACCAATTTTAGGCTGAAAAATATCAATTGTCCGGCATTCCTTGGAATTCGAAAGGTCGGGAGAGAGAGAGCCAAGTGATGAAACGTTGTCTGGTGCACAACCATGACTTCCATGTGGGTCAGCAGGGGCTGTATATAAGTAATTATCGCCTATCTGGAGAACAAGAAGAGCAAGTGTGTAGTTTAATGGACGATTTTAGAAGTACTCGCGAGCTAAGGGATTTCGCCACACACAGGTTCCAGAGACCCTTAACTACGGCAGATATATAATCCATACTTCGAAGAAGATCTCAATCGGATTCGCGTGGCGATGCGGTGAAAGTTCGGGATATGCTGGAGAATCAGTGAGAGGTTAGGATAGGGCTGAGTGAAGGCGTCGTTCGTCACATTTGTTTTGTTCCTAAGGTTATGTTGCACTGCGTCGCCAGGTTTAGTGATGTTTTGTTAGCGGACGCCGCACATCAGCTAAATTGTGGCGGGTACGTGCTTTGGCATGCTATGCTTGTAGATGACACCGGTTTAGGTAGAAGTTCCTTCTACGCTATCTTGCCGAATGAGGGCGGTGAGAGCTATAG